GCTTAAATTTCAAAGGTTAAACTCAAAATTATCATTATCAATTCAATTATTTAAAATCAGTTCTCATATTTTGATAGTATCTACACCTATTTAGTTTAGAACAATTTATAATGAGCATTAGTAAGCAATGGTCTAATAAAATCATTTATGACACCTTTAATTAACTTCATATTTTAGCTTTATCTGACCAATGACTATGTATATCGTCTCATAGCCAGGCGGGCTAATTTTGTGAGTTTTTCTAATTAGTAGACATCACTTCCTCTCTAAAACCATTAATGTTATTTCGCGTCGATTTTTCTTCAATAAATCATCGAATTATTAAGTGTACTTTAAGGCCTTCAAACAAAATTTCAAGGCAATCCATATTCAAAGGCCAATCCGAAAAAATCCACTCTATGAGTTCATCACACCTATTCAAGCATATACTCATATTCATACCTATACATACTACAATTCCACAATTCTATAATAATTTCACATGTCTTACTTCTGTCCAATTATAACCCAGAATTTGTTCACAACCCATCCTAGTTGTCTGTTAACCATACACTTCGTAATTTCATTACTACGTTTCTGGTATTATAAGAGATGTACAAAATTAACCATATTTAGAACATGATTAACATTATATCACAAGCTCGTGCTCAGGATTGTATAGTTAACTAACTGACAAAGAAACAATTTGGACATATCTCAGAGTTGCTTATCTCGTACCGGGCAATTTCTAATGAGGTAAATTCGTATTGGTATATCTGAAAATTAGGTTACATGAATATGACTACGCTTTTACATTTACTATCGGGATTCTACTAAAAGTTTTATTACAATAGAGACGATAAGTTTTTTTACTACAGTAATCACAATCACTCCACCGCAGTCAGAAAATGTGTACCAGGTTGGGTGACGTAGTTCTTCTAATCTACGAATCAGCATTCAAGATTAGATATAACGTAATACAATCAAGAAGATTCAAAACAAATATTCGTTCTGCCAAAAATCACTTATAACACAAAAATCAGCATAAGAACCACCTTTTATACTTTAACAAAAAGTTTTCATTAGACAATTTTACTATTAGAACTACTACCCTCTAGTTTTTAACCCTGACCCTAACCCTAACCTTAACGAATTTTAAAATGTTTGTCTGTGCCACTAACCCTGGTACACATTTTCCAATTGCCACTCCACCAATCTCCCATGTCATCCCTTTTATGCTCTCTATTATATGCTGGACATGTTTCTGAATAGTCGAAATAATCATTATTTTTATTACTATATTTAAATGATAAACCAGAAAATTGCTCTAATACTATTTTAATTACATGAATAATAAATGTATTATAAATATGATATATATGCCATGAGGTAATTGACCAAATTTAGAGTAATTGCAAAATAACTATAGGACAACTCATTTATTTTTAATTATTAGAGAATTATTGCATTCACATCACTTATATATTCCATTCACTACTTTTTTGCATTCGTCACAAACCTTACATCTGTGCTTCCAATCTCTAAAGATATGCCACTTTTCAATATAGTTTTGTTTGTCTCTATGTGTAAGTGTGTTATTCTGACCTTTTATTGTTATATATTGACAGAAAAAATATAATGTGGCTAAAACTTTTTTATTATACTGTATGTACGTACAAACCTGTAATGCGTGGCACTTGTGTTTGTGGTCTGTTTACAAACAAACCCTGTAAGGCTAAAACCCTGCTCTATATAAAACAAAAATTTTATGCAACATGTTTGAGGTACGTATACATGCTGTAGAAACTCATTACGGCTCTGCTGAAAATATTTTAACATCAATTTTTTGATATAAACAGAGCTGCAAGCCATAATTCATGCCATAACACAAAGCCAAAATCTAAACCCATAATTAATGCTATAATCTAAATTAAAAGCCAAATTTAAATACCTAGAAGCTATATATAGTAGAAACTAATTATAGCTTGCTGAAATATTTTGTTGCTGATTTTTAGTAAAAATAAAGTCACAACTGTTACAACTTAAAGCTAAAACAAAAATTTATATAAATGCCACAATTTCAATTAAAAGCTGCAATTTAAATATTATGAATTTTGGAATTGTTAGCTGAAATTCTATAGCTATATATATATATATATAAACATATATACTTTTAACAAATTAAACACTATTTTATAACAACTATATTATTTACATATTTATAAATAAATGCTCAAATATCAAAGCTATCTACCAAAGCATCAACGTCAAATTCTCTATTGCCATAGTTCTCTTCAATATTGTCTTCAACAACTTCTGAAATAACAACACTATCAAGCGCTATAGGTTATACTATAAAATTAGACAAATCTAAGTTCATTATATTACCAATTATTAATGATTTACTCTTGATTAGAATATTGTTATTTTCATTTTCTTCTAACATATAAAACTTTTTGATTTTATCTGCTGTAGCAATATCATTCTTATTGTCTTCATCTTTTAATCTCATTGATACTGTTGCATCTAATATTTTTTGGCATAATTCATCTAATTCAATAGTTGCTGCCATATATTTAAGTTCAGTATTAGCATTTGAAATATAATAGACATGTATTTTTGCTATATCTTCAAGTTTTGCAAAGTTTAACCAATTTCTATATAATAAATTATAATAATAGTAAATTGATTACTAATTACCTTGTAAAATAGAAATTATATAATAAAGTCTTTATATTAGAAATATTTGTAAATATTTACTTTCTTTGATTATAAAACCATCAAAGTACTGAAAAAATCCTTTCACATCCAGCATTATATAGTGTTATAGCAAGAGCTTTTAATGCTAAATATGCTAAATAATTAGGACTATCATTGCAACTTTGCCACCAATTAATTAATATATTATTTTGATCATTCCAAGAATAATTATATGGTGTTATAAATTCATGATAATTATTCATTTGTGTGAGTAAAATTTTTGATAATGTTCTTTTTCTACTTAATGATTTCCAAATTTTAATTGCTGCTTTAGCTATTATTCAAAATCTATTAATTTGTAATTTATCACCTAAAATAATAAAAAAATCAAATTTAAGTTAAATAAAAAATATAATTTAATTTATTATAATTAATACTAACCACGATATTTGAAATGAAAAAAATAACCTTATTTAAAAATCTCAAAGTCAAATTCATTCCATTAATGATTATAAATTTGAATACAAATTTTTCAAAATTCAAAATGCACAATTTCTACCGAAATATAATATATTGCAGAAGCTAATTAAACTAATTGAATATAAACATCTGCTAATATAGTTAATTTATATTTAACAGCTTTTACAGCTTCTTTTGCAGGACATAAAATTCGAGCTAAATATTCAACATTATTAAAAAATTTTTGAGATTTAATAATATTGGCAATATTTTTTAAAACTATATCTGGATAATTTTGACAAATCTAAAAATATAAAATAGTTAATTTGATATTTTTTTTAATATAAGTAATTAAATTATTTACTATTATAAAATATAGTTGTAATTATAAAATTGAAGTAAGACAATCCTAAGATATTGACTAACATGTTTTAACTAAAGATTAAATTTCATCACCAGAAATTAGATATTCCTGTTATAAATCTTGAAGTAATTCTCCAGCTTGATAAGATAATTTAATGCACTTTACAATTAATTAATATTGTTTTATCAAATTATAAGCTCATTATTGCTTAAATATATCTTTAATAATTAAATTTATATGATGTGCAATACATTAAATAGGAAGAATATATGGATAAGCATGATTAACAATACTTTTAGCCAATTTTATATTTATAGCACCATTTGTTACAATTACTCTAAATTTTTTAATACCAATTGTTTCAATAATATCTTGAACTTCATTAGCAATAAATTTCCTTATATGAAATTGTCTTAAATAATTTTGAAGACTATATAAATATTCCTTTTCTTAGATATTATTATTAAATATAAATAAATACTTTGCCTAATTAGATTTGTCCATTCATCCATCAAAACCTATAGTATACCAAATATAAAAATATTAATTAATATATATATCTATTAATATAAAATAATTATATACATATTTATTGACCAAGTGTTAAATTTTCTTCACTTTTTATTTCATTTTCTATTTTTATAGTAATATCAGCTACTTCATTTTTTAATAAAGTGGTTGATAAATAAGTTCACTTTGGTGGTTTATAGGCTTGATTTGATTGATTTAACATTTTATAATTCTAAAAAAAATATGTTTAATACTGAAAAAGCAATTTTACAACCAATAAAAATTTTAGAAGTGCTCTGTCACATTCTTTTTTTCTTTTTAATAAACTTTCAAGATCATTTTTGAGGTTTATTAATACAATTTTTTTAGATGCTGGATAATCTGTTTCATTATCCTTTTCTTTTATTTAATTTCTTGCTATTATGATTCGAAAAAATTTTTGTTTAATTTCAATATTAGCTTTGGGACATTCAGTAGCTAAATGATCTTCTAATTCTTTTGACTTTTCACGTGTTTAAGATTTGCTACATTCTCATTTTGCACTATAATGACTATGATCTTTAGATTGGGCATTTACAATATAATTTTATACTTCTTTGGAGGTCTACTAGTTGAATTTTTTTCTCTTTGCAAAGAATCAATAAAACTCGATGAAGAAGCAGAATTCATAGTTTGAGTTAAAGTATTTTAAAATATTGTACAT